TTCTTCGAGGCTCGTTGATCTCTTGTGATCTCCCGGTTATCAACACACGATCACAACACGAAAAATATAATTTACAAAATTACATAATTCGATCCTAGATCCAACGAATGGATGTACATGTTTTCTAAACAAATAATTAAATCTATCCGGTCAACCCCCGGGCGAATAATTATTACAAACATTCATCCATAAATTCCTCGACATGCCCGAGGCTTTAAAAACAAATTTAAAACCATACATCACATTCAACAACATTCATCAAACACATAATCGGCCATAATAGTGGATTAACTATTTTCCTGCAAAACCGAGTTATGCAAATATAATCCAATATATGGCTGCGTTTGAACACATCTTGTCAAATAAAGCCGTAAAAATTCGAACTTTGTACAAAACGAATTAACCAAGTGCTCTGATACCACTTGTTGGGATCTGTGAGGATCTCGTTATGTACAAATCACGAATTCAATAGCAAACGTAAACCTATGCGCAGCGGATCTAAAGGTTTGACGTAGAGAACTTACGGCTTAAAATTTATGTAGATCTGGTTGACCACGAACGGTTGACCGCAATTGATTGACCGCAACACGCGTCTTGGGTTGCACGAACAAGATCAGATCAAAACTGGATCAAACGGATGCAAACAGATCAAAACGAAATTTTGCTGCCAGACACCTTCCGGCGGCGCGTGAGGGCGCGTGCGGCGTCGGATTCCGGCGACGTCGGCGGCGATGGAAAGCTCTCGTCGAGACGGTCGTCTGGGTATACTGTACGTCTCAATCGGACTTCCGGTTAGTTCTGTAGGTCAAAATCAATTTCGTCTCGGTTTACCTACAGATCTTCTACTGTATTACTCAATACACCCTTCTTCAACTTGTACCAGTGGAGCAACAAGAAGAAGATAAAGCTCGAATGAGATCTAGAGAGAGAGATGGTTTCACGTGAGAATGAGACTTCTATTCTCTTCTCATGAGCTTAATGATGTATATATAGAGCTACAGTAGGGACCCTAAGGAGATTAGGAAAAGGGCTCCTTAATTAATTAGACTAACTGTGGGCCAAACCCACTCCTCTAATTAATTAAATAATATTAATGGGCCACCAACATTATATTATTGCACTCCCTTTCCCTAGCCCAAATTACATTTGAGACTCCAATAATAATTACTCGATTTACCTCCCCACGTTTAAGATATAATGTCCATTAATTAATTCGATTACTGACAATCAAGAATTAATTAATTTATTATTATTTCACCGAAGCTAGCGCTCGTTCATCACATTCTTATTATGCCGGAATTTAATCCACCTGCAGGGTTTAGCATAACAATCCTTCATGAACTCACTCCGGGGACATCATCAAACTAACGCACATGGTGACCGTAAATATCCTAACAGCACATCCTATATATAATAATATTACCCAAAACAGTAGGAATATTAATCCAGCGAACTGAACCTCACCCATGTGAATCAAAGTAATATATATTATATATATCTGCCTGTTTAATATCTTACGGGTTAAGAGAACGCAGTAATTAACCGAGGCCTAGTTCATTTACGACGATCAGTATAAAATGAACTTCTCCTCTCTGGGATCCTGTTCAATACATAAATGTACTAGTGCAACTAATCAGTCAAGACAAACTGTACAGTTGACACTACAACCGTTCGGATGGGGTGTTCATGTCCATCTAGGTTGTGAACAACTATTCTTGTTCGCAAGTGACTGACAGAGTGATCTTCGGTTCGCCCGATGACGACCCACCCTATCTAAGTGCAGAACAACAGAACGTAGAACTTGTTTAATCTAACATGATTCTCATTCATAAAGGGTAAATGTGTAATAACATGCAAAGCCAAGCTTTCAGTATATAACACTAACAAATTCTATCTCAACAGGAGTACGCCCCACCCCAGCAGACACAGTCCCAGCGGGCGAGACATAGACCGACGCCCCACATTAGTGGAGGGAGAAGACGCCGTGACCGCGAACCCGCCGCTGCATTCCCCGGGAATGAAGAAGACGAAGAAGGTGAGATATTTTTATTTAACTAAAAATATATATTTTATTTTTGTTTGTTTTTATTTATTTATCCGGTCGAATTACTGATTTTTTCAAAAAATTAATTAATTAGGTGAAGAAGAAGAACCAGCCACGCCTGGACATAACATGTTTTTAGTTGAATTAATTAAGGGTAATCACGTCATTAAGGAAACATAGATTCTGAAAATCCGTGTTTCCATCAGAATTAAGAAAAAACGGATTCTGAGGAAACACGAATTCCTAGAATTTACTTGTTTGACTTTTCTCCAGAAACTTTTTTTTTTTTACTTATTTTTGTCCACGGATTTTTTGTTTATTTTATTTAAATAAATGATTCCAACTTGCTTCTGAAAAAAAGAATTTTTCATATGATATATTCTATTTGGTCTTATGTTAGATCTGCCTAATAATTATTAGGTTGCCATATTTTTTTAACAAATGTGCATAGTTCAATTTTAAAGTATCATATGATAAAAAAAAATAATATAAATAGAAGTATGAAATTTAATAGTATAATTTATAAATATGTATTTTTGTTAAAATGATATGACAGATTGACTCACCTAACGGTTAGGCTGTCTCACCCGAATATTTGTGATTATATTCCTGTAGAATCTATGGACCACCCACCAAATAATTATGTCGGAATATTCTAGAATTCTTAGTCAAACTTCAAGAAAAAAGATATATATTGATCAAGAACGAATGTAATAGATAGATTTTCATTTTTGTGTAAACGATAAGTCTTCTTAATTAGATATATTATGTATGTTTTAACCGTAGGTCTTCGTATTAGATAGATTCTCTTGTTTATCTAAACATACGGTAGGTGTTCGGTGATGTCAGTTTACAAAACATGAATAAATATAAATATGACATTGGATAGTATAAGTATATTTTTTCCAATAATGTTATCAATTGATCCGCCTAATCGTTAGACTGCTACAACGCAACCGCAAGAACTAGTGATATTTAAAACTTGCATTCGGTCTTTTTACATCAAGGGGACTTCTAAAATTCTACACCCAGAAATAGTTCATGGAGAAAACAATATAAAATCCATTATCCTCATTTTTATAGTCTCATAGGTACCTTTTATTTCTATAGCAATATGATTGTGTCTTTGTTTAATTAAACATGAGTGATTCGAAGATTGAAGCAAGAGGTTTGGAACACATTCCCGATATTAAAGTAAAATATTATTGTGAGCAAATGGTTTAGTCTGGTCAAATTATGTGCCTGCTAAGGATACAATCCGGACATGTCGCCATGAACTAATACTCTAATTGTCCCCTTGTCTAATTTTAATATTAGTTGGATTTATTAATTATATATGATACCAAACAAAGTGATAGCCAGAAGGGTTTTATTAGAAGATATCATATTCAAAAGAAAAAAAAAAAGATATTTGATAATCTGAATATGTATTCTCGTTCATTAAGTAAAATAAATCGACTCACTTAATAGTTAATTAACAGTTAATCCGAAATTATGATTTCCTTGAGACATCGTTTCAGAAAACAGAGGAAAACAACTGGCCGTCTAAAGTAAACTCACTCTGACTTGCCTGAATTGGTGAAATGATAATTATTAAATTCACTTTGTGCCTCAAATATCCATACTAAAAGCCCATTTTTTCTCGTGACCAAGACAAATTCCATGGAAAAAACGGCATCTCGAACATGCACAGAATCGCGACAGCTTGTTGGACGAAATGTACAACAATTTCGTCAAATATAAATTCGTGACTATTAGTTCATTAAGGAAAATTTCATTTTTAGTCCCGCAATTATTAAACTGTTTCAGAAATAACTGCGTTAGATTTCAATTAATATCAGTCCCTTAATTAAAATTCAATTTCAATTCAACTTCAAGTTTACATGATTGAGTTGATTTGTATACAATTTTGGAATGCCATAACAGGAAATCAATCTCTCTCTTAATAACTTATGTTTTCAAAATAGTTTAAATTATTTATTTCTTCATCTCACAAAAGAAATATATTATCCGAGTTGCATAACCATGTAGATGGTTTTTCTCTAGCGCGCAAAACAGCAAAAATCAATTCAGCAATTATACATGTACATACATCAATAAACAACGTGACAAATTATTACATGTCAAGTAACTTGAAACAAATGATAATTTTGTCATTAACTCTCGCAATCGCATAAAATGACAACTAATCAAACTAGGAATATTATGTCCTAACACGTGAGCTAATCAATATATTTGTTATTTCTTGCAATTAGTTAATAGATAGTTTTAACATTTTTTTTTTTTTTGAATTTTTACTCGATTTCGATTAGTTAGTTGGTATTTTCTAGAATAACAAAAATTAGGGACATCGGCCGGAAGGTTTGAGGAAATACTCAAATAATTTTGGAATTTGAATTTGGAATTTGTGAAAGCATAAATTCCTAGTTCTATAAAATATTTTGTTGGATTGGCATTAATGAGTCGGTATTTGCTGGTTCCAATATCAAAGTCTAAGTTGTCATTTTCGGTTGTGGCCCTTTAGAAAGTGTCCAACACAAACAGCTAATTTCAACTGTGTCCCTTTCAAGCAAGTCAATGAATTGCAGACTGGCAAAACCTCAAAAACACACCTAATGTTGGGAGATCTGTCTCCCAAGGAATGAATTCAAACACAAGGATCCAGTCAAATGATTCAAGACATAAATNCAAAAAAAAAGGAAAAAACAAAAAAAAAAATAAGAGTTGTAACCGACTATCTAGTCTAGTCTAGTAAGAGAGAATGCTCAATCCAGAAAAATGAGAATAATTCTTAGTAAAATAAACAAGACAATATGCATATGTACACAAGATAATCCAGATGTGAAAGTAAAAAAACCAACTAACTTCAATTTTCATCTATTTCTGCCAACAAACCTCACCCACCAATCTATCTACCCTTTTTAATATTTTCCCTTCCCTCCACAAATCAACAATTTTTTTTTTAAAAAAAAAAAGAAAAATAGGGGAGCTGGGGGCCCCCAACATCAATCCCACCTTTTTTGTTGTTTGTTCATATTTACAATCCAAACTAACTTCACCAACTCTTTTGTTCTGTAAATTCCCTTCACTTATCTATGTACAAAATGCCCATCACCATTGAAAGAAGAATATGCCATGCCTTCCACTCCCATTTGTGTTAAAAGTTAAAAAGTGTCTTCAGATTCTTTCAGCTTAAGACTTAATCAGCCCAAAGTAATTCAGACTCCTCCCCACCATGCTCCCGAGCGACATCAGCACGCGTGGGCCCTCCCTCTCGACCTTCCGCCCACACGGGGTGGGCAATTCCGTAATTTTCAGATTCCCTAAACCAATCTTTTCCCTCACCGAGTCTATGATCTCCGAGTCAACCGGGTTTCCAACTGCATCCGTCACATAGAATACGTTTCGGGCCGTATCCCGAGCTGTCGATATCTCGGCCCGCGTCACATTAAGCCCATTTTCACGAAAAGTCCGCATCACATCCGCCAACAAACCTTTTCTATCATCCGCACACAGCTCGAGCCTCACACCCTATATTTTTGAAAAAAAAAAAAAAGGTGGGAAAGGTTAATTTAACTAAATCTGAAAAAGATCTTTTTAAATAATGGATTTTTATCCTTCTCAAAGCACCTTAGATGTCCTTCTCTCGATCGCGGCCTGTAGACAGAGAATCACGCGCTCCTTCTCGGCATCGGAGCTAATCGGTGTCCCGTCCATGTGTCTGATGAAAAACTCCTGATTTTCACATAACAACCAAACAAACCAATTAGTTGACACACAAATAAATGAATAAATAAACAGAACTCAAATTCTATAAATTTACCAGAGACGCCGCATTCTCAGACGTGTCGACCGTGGCGTGGAAAACAACATAACCCATATCGGTCAACGTGCAGACCACATCAAACAAAAGCTTATTCCGATCCCTGCACTGAATATTCACGACCGAATAATCCTTCTCCAAATAATTCCTAACCGACACACTCGGGCCCAAACCAGGCCCGGCCTCATAGTCCCGGTCAGCAAACATCAACTGATGGAGCCTCCTCTCGGTATGAGTCACAGCCAACGAAACCGAGGTTCTCGCACTCCGAATGTCATTATCCCCTTTCAGCACGTTCCTCAAAACGGCCCCAATTGCGTCCAACTTCTGCTCGTCCTCGATTGGCGAGCCCGAGTTGTCATCCTTCAAGTAAATTAAGGAAGCTATACGGCCATTGTGTGTCCAAACCTTGGCATCGACTACATTACAGCTCGAATTGGAAAGAACAGCGAAAACCTCGGATAAAAGCCCGACCCTATCCGTGCCCGTTAGCTCAAGGGCCGTTAAACCCTTGACGCTTGCTGGTCGGCCGTAATGGACAGTTTCAAGCGACTGGATCAATCAATTGAATTGAGAATGAGATTAATTGTTTCGGACAGTGTTTAATGCGGTGGTAATTAATAATTTAATATAATTGAATAGGTTACCTGCTCGATGCAACCGAGGACGCTCTCATCGGTTAGTTTATTCCCATTCAAGTCGGTCACATGAAAAACTGCCAGAATTTAATGTGTGTAAAAACGGCAAGAGTTAGAAGGGAATCAATTATTTTCATGAAAAATTTTAAAGGGTAGTTAATGCGGGTTTTGGAGGGTTGGGGGAGGTGAAAGGCGGCGCGTGGTGGGTACTCACCGTCCATGAACCACCGGCCGTCGGAGCAGATGTAGGCCTTTTTGATTGAAAGGTTCAGATCCGTCAGGACTTGGACGGCTTCGAGGAGAATCCCATGTTTTCTCGCACTATCAATCTGCAATAATTTGAAGTATTGATTATTAAATTATTTTTAAAATTAGAATCAAATACAAAAAAAATCCGATTTTTTACCAAAAAAAAAAAACAGAGGAAGAAACTAGAAAGATGAAACTACCATTAGCCTGGTCTCATTGGAACAGCCCGCATTGTCGATCATGACCCTGCACAGAGTGGACAGAGGAAGAGTGAGTTGGGGGGCATTCTCGGTATTTCACGAGTCTTGCGGCGAGAATTTTCCTTTCAGAGGTCTTAGCGAAAAGTCAATCGTTCAGAGGACGGGACACAAATCGATAGTTTTGAAAATTCACCATTTTTTATTGGCGTTACCAGAAAATTCACAGAAAAACTGAAATTTTAAAATTTTTCATTGACTCAGGAGAACAGCAATTTTATTAGGAAACTGAAAAAAAATCAGTTCAGACCAAAAAAAATTCCCTGAATTTCCAGTTCATAGTTTCAGAAACAAAAACCCAAAACAAAAAGGCAATTTCAGAAAAAAAAAAACAAAAAAACAAAAAAAGCCACTGAAAATCAATTTCAAATAAGTTTTTTCACAATAGTAAGAGTAAAACTTGAAATTAGCCAAATGCAAAACCCAGTAAATTATTTAGAAAAATGAATTAAACTGACCTTGGCGTAGACATTCGAATAATGAGCTTTTCGTATTCATCCACATACGAAGGCCACTCCATATTCTTCATATCACAACTCATATCTCAAACAAAAAAAAGGAAAATTTGATTTTTGCAGACTCAGTTCCCTCCTTTCTCTCTCTAGAATTCAATCTCTCTCCCTCTCTATCTAAAAAGGAACGATGACGGAACAATGCATGCGCTTCTGCTCGGGTCTTTCCCCACTTAAGGAAGATGTCGGTATTTATTTATTATATTTCCTTCCTATTTAATTAAAGTACTTTCCTTTATTTATTTTATTATTATTTGAATCTATTAACTGGAAACGGCGACACCGTGTCTTGACTGAGATTTTTTTCCCCTTATTTTCCCCCGCTTTTTATTGTTTTACTTAATTAATTAATAATTACTAATAGTGTTTTAATTTTTTCCGTTTTATCCATAAAAGGGGTACCGTTACCGTTTGATGCAACTAATGTTTTTTCGCTTTCGATGTAAGTTATGACTTATGAGTCGCCGGTCAGGGACACGTATGTTCTGATACAGCTGGCTCGTGGGCCCCACCGCCGACGTGGACGCCAGGTGTTGTTGCTGGACGATACTTTGCGTGCAATCGACTCAACAGAGAGGCGGTGATTGGTGGGGGGTGTTGAGGCGGTTAATCTTTTGTTGCACTTTTGAATTTTTATAAATTATAATGATGATTATTATTATTATTACTGTGATGATGAGAATTAAATGAATTAGGAGATCGAGTTTGTGATTTGTGTGGATTTGAGTAATCTTTTGGACATATTAGGATGCCTTTTAAATTGGGCAATTAGGAATTACTTGCAACTTTATCCTAAACAAACAATGCTAAATTTTGTTTATTAAAATTTGTCACAATCTTGATATGCAATTAACTAAAGGATAACAAATTAGTAGTCATTGTTCAACAATTCTATTGAGCAATCCAATAGTTTTCTTATGAAGTCATCCACCACTTAATATATTGACACATGTCCAAATTATATTTATTGCAAGATACATGTCAATACACTATTGGTGAATAAGTGTGGATGACTCCATAAGTAGAGTCATCCGATGGCTCCATAGCAAAACTGTTAATAGTTTACGTACAAAATGTTATATAGTACATAGTTTTGTCACTCTTAAGTTCACATTAGGTTTGTTCCATTAAAAAAAATGTATCATGTATATTGTGTACCGAACATACATGATATATATTGTTTGATATCCATTGTAATATAATATAAATTACATTAATTGAAATGTCATTAAAGTTGTGAATAATCGAACTAGTTGTGTTTTATATGAAAATGATCTCCATTTAGCAAAAAATTGTGAATTATTAAATATTCTTATATACATATGAGGAATGTCATTTTTAATTAATTAATTTATTCTTTTAGAAAAAATTACAAAGACATTTTGTCTCATGTACTTGGATTTTAATTAGAAATAAAATATAACATGAGCTAAAATATTATTTACTAGTATAAAATTAGGAAAAATGAAACTTTGAGTTTGACTTGATTATGACTGATTTTTTATGATTAAAAGATTAATTCGGATTGAATTAAATTATTTATAAACATTCTTTGTTCCTAGTAGATAAACATTGTATATTTATTTTCTGAAAACTCATTTTTTATGAGTGAGAAATAAATGATTAAGTTAACCATTAATGGGCAAGTAAAATGGTATTGTAGAACTCGAATGGTTAAGTGACATATTTGGTTGTGGAGAGGTCACAACAACAACGAAAGTTATGCACTAAGTGTCGGTGTTGGCTTCAGCGACATGCTTGCACAAGTCGCCTATGAGCGGCTTAGCACGGGCCTTAGACTTGGGCTTAGTCTTTGGTCCTTAGCAATTGAACTATGGACTGAACTTGGGCGATCTGGGCAAGTGATTATATATTTGTGCTCCAAACTGAGTTAGGTATGGACTCAAATTTGGATTTGTCCCGTGTGACTTTCACTATGTTCACTGAACTTGGACGTATTTGTCTCCACCTGACAGCTTAAGCAGCAATCAGGTGGAATGATGGTGTATTAACACTTGGAAATGGTCAAGTAGTTTTATGCCCATTACAACAACTGCGACTATGTTGTTACCTACCTTTAGAGGAAGTTGACATTTGGTCCTCTCTGCTTGGGATGGAAGTCCTATAAGTCGGACATTATTAGAGCTGCAGAGAGACACTAAACATCGTCTCCATCCTTACTTTTTACTGATAGTCTCACATATCATACAAGTGCTTAGTTTTTGACTATTTTGTAGTTCACTGAAGCTCACAAGTCTGGTGTGGTACAGTTTTCGAGATGCTTATCATTGAATTTTTTGGGACAAGACGCACAGATCCGTCATAACTATATGAGGTGTGTATTTGTCTTGCGGAAAGAGATCTCCTAGCACTGTCTTTACTTTGTATGTTTTTAGTTCTTTAAAAAAAAAAACGGGA